TTTTTTTTTTTAGCCTATAGCATCCAGCACCATGGAAACCCCTCCACCTCTTTGTTCTGTCCGCCTCCCTCCAGAAATCGCCCCCATTTCCATCCAAATCATGACATCAAATTTCCCTCCTGGCCCAGGGATTAGGGAAGTTCCAAGGAGATATAAACACAAGTTGGAAAATTACTGCAAGGAGAACCCAACGGTCTTGGATGCAACCTCAGACGCCACCCGCACGCCTCTCTTTCTTGTTGGGCCCTGGCCAGAGTCCCAGAAAGCCTCTGCTCCGGGCTCGCCTCAGACAGGGTCACTGGTCCAGCGGAGCCCTGGCCCCTGGGCAGAGGTGAGCCTCAGCTCTGGGACAGGCACTCCCAGAACCTGCCTTTGCCGACCCCGCCCAGCCGCACCTGCTTCTTGACCCCTCCCTCCTTAGTCCCCAAACAGCCCAGCTTGGTCTCCCGACTCTGGCACGTTACAAAACACACTCTCGTCCCCATTCTCCTCCCAGACCTGAACTTCCCCCTGGAAAGGGACAACCGACTTACGATCGTCAGCAAATGATATGGACAGAGCGTAGCATCCGGAGCACCTACGAAGTGACAGGCACGGTGACGGTGCTTTTAGAAACACCAGTTTCATCAACGGCCCCAATAAGCTCCTGAAGTGGATGCCATCACAACCCTACTTTACAGATGAGGACGCTGAGGGTCAGGGAGATGAAGGAAACTGGCAAAGGGCACAGGTCCAAGCCGATGGAGAGGCGGGATGGAGAGGCCCAGGCTCTCACCCACCGCACCCCTGCGTCCCCCTGGGTCCTCGGGAGCAACTTGGCCGCTTGCTCCGGCCAGAGCCGCACCCGTCTCTTCTGTCCTTTCTTTGGGGTGAATCCCAAAGCAGCCAAATCCCGACTCAGATCCTGCCTGGAAAAACTCTGACTCAGCCTCGGGCACAGCCACACCCCCCTCACCCCGTTCCTCACTGGAGCCCCCAAATAAGGCAGGACCCCAGAATCCTCGTACGCCCGGGCTGAAGGTCCTTTGGTCACCTCCTCTGCAGATGGGAAACTGAGGCCCGGAGCAGGGGCAGGGCCGGCCCTGAGTCCTGCAGCATGTCGGTGGGGGCTGGGCTCCCAACCCAGTGCTCTTCCCAGGGCCTCACCAGAGGCTCAGCCACCTCTGCTTCCAGGCCCCCTCCCCACAGACTCTCAGGTGACCCCTGCGGTAACCCAGGGAGGGACCGTAAACTGGCTCCCCCGACTGCCAAGAGGGATGGCCCCTTCTGCCTTGGCCTCAGGCGGGCTTCGGGGCAGGAGCTGCAAATGCCCAGAGACCATTAGGCACTGCAGCCCCACGAGGCTCCCTGGAGACGCAGCGTGTGTTTGTGGGGGCGCAGTGCCGGGTGGGGAACCTAGAACACCCAGGAAGAGAGGACAGCCCCACTGAAGGATGCCAGCCAGCAGCCTGGGTTGGGGGGAAAGGGTCTAGCCACCCTGAGGGCCACCTCCCCCTTCTCCCTGCTTCCCCTCCTCTGCAGAAGGGCTGAGGGGTTTGGTTAACTCGGCCCGGCAGGGCCACTCCCCACCTCCAGGAGGTTTTCGGGGGGAAAGGTCCCCATGGATTCTAACAGCAAAGTGACCACGGCAGAGGTGATGACTTCCCTTCCTCCTACTCGGCCACCAGGGCAGGGGGCACCGGCCTAAAGGCCCAAAGCCTGCGCTGGGCCCTTGCACTGCCTCTGCCCCAGTGGGCATCGTGGATGAACCCCTTCACCACTTGGGGCCTCAGTTTCCCCATTCAGAAGGAGGTAACTATTTTTATTCTGGTTCCAATACCTTAAAGTTCCAGGGCTCTTTATCATTGTGCGCAGACCCAGCGTTCCCCCCACCCCCGTCCCCTGTGCCATCCCCCCGCCCCAGTTCCCGTGGCTCAGAGCCCTGCAGCAGGGCTGGTGAGGATGAGCCAGCTCAGGAAGGAGAGCTCCAGTCTGTCTTGACTTTGGCCACGAGTAGGCAGAGGGTCTTAGGTCCAATGGCTACACAGCAGGGCAAGGTGGGCAACAGGAGAGGCCGGCCTCGGGCCCTGCCCTGCGTTCAGAGGGAATGCCGGGGTGTCTGTGGCTGGGGGGGGGATGGGCTCCACAGCCCCCTCCGGGGCAGGGTCCTGCAACTGGGCCCGGAGCCGCAGCCCCACCAGCCAGGGCCGCAGGAGGACTCTCACGGGCCTCTTCCTCTCGTGGAAAAATATTAACAGTTATATTTTATGACCACATTGACATAAAGGCACACACTATGCAGCCTGGATTCCTTCTTATCTCTTTGTTGGTACCCATTCGCTTCCCTCTCATTTTAAAAGAAATGAAAATCAGAGCCTTATCCTGGGTCGCCGGAGGCATCCCAGACCCCGGGTCCGTGCCCGCCGTGCCTGACGGGACAGCCGCCCGGAACCCTGGCCACTCCTGCCCCGGATCCCAGCGCCGCTTCTCTCCTGCTCTCCCGGGCTGGCCACAGGCCCTCTGCACCCCCCAAAGTACCTGCTCTCCGTCCCCCTGCTCATCTGCCTGGCGACCACGGGCCGGGAACAGAAAGGGGAAGGAGCCTCCTCTCATCCTGAATGAGAATCCAGCAGGCGCAGGTGACGGCTCAGAGCGGCTGTTCTCAGGGAGCAGAAAGGGCAGTGAACTTGGGGCGGGCATGGCCTGCTGCGGGGGCCCGCTCACCAGCCGTGTGACGAACCACGCCACCTCACCGGGCCCCCGTGGGCAAGCGTGTTGAGTATTTATTCCATTCAAGCCCGGAGCGTAGCACACTGTCTCATCAAATCTCTCAAGGACCCTACGGGCAAGGCTCTGGGATTATCATCTCCTTTTCACAGATGGGGAAAGAAGGGCGCAGGAAAGTCAATAACTTGACCAAACGGGAGCCTGCGCACGGACCTCGGACTCCAGTCTTCCGCGTCCAGAGATGACGCACAGGTGCCTTGCAGGCGGGTCCACTGACACCGGCACTCGCCTCCCTCCTTCCCAAACGCCACCAGGAAGAGAGTTCCCGGCTCAACAGCAACAGGTGGGCACTGTGCCCAGCCGTTCCCGGCCCTGGAAGGCTCTGCCAGCCTGGCTAGGAAGGCTGGACCGCAGCTGCCATCCAGATGGGCAGGAAATTCGATTTCCCCCCGCTGCTGCTAGGCCAGCTCTCCCCAGACACACAGGCGCTGGGTCACCGTCCACCCCTTCCCTGACCTAAAGGCCGAAGGCCACCAGTGGCCCAGTGGCCGAGAAGCCTGCCTCTGGGATGCCAGCCGTCTCCTCCTTGACAAGGCCCTAAGGCCTGTGTCTGACAGGTGGAGGAAGGGGACGAAGGAATTAAGGCAGTGCTGCAAAGAAATCAGACAGGAAACAAAGGATGACTCTTGGAAACAATGCCAAGGGCAGCCCTGCCTGGAGCGCCCTCTCTGCTCCCCCGGAACCTACTGACTGTTAACAATGACAGTGGCATTGATCAGAACCCACCAGGCCCCAGGCCTTTCTTATCTCTCACTCATACAGCATCCCGGAGCCTGGGGCTGGCGGTGACCCCACAGCGGGTAGCAGATTCCCGGGCACCCCTCACCCCCTGCTCTGTCTCACTCCCTGGCTCGCTTCTCTTGCCGTGGGGAGATCTGCACATGTTGTTCCCTTTACCTGGAACACTGTTCCCCAGCTCACCACCTGACTGATTGCTTCTGGGTTCATCTCAGACACCACCGCCTCCAAGAAGCTTTCCCAGCCCCCACCGTCGGTTGGACCCCTTCTGTGGGCACCAACAGCTCCCCGTGGATACCACCTGCAAAAGTTTGGTGTACTGTCTGCCTGACATCTGGGACCTTGACACCAAGGGCCCGAGTCTCGCCTGCCATTGTGTCCCCAGCACAGGGCCCGGCCACCTGGTGACCATGTGCTACAGGAATGAATGATGGAACAAACAAATGAAGGCCAAGAGTGCCCTAAGCCTGGGAGGATCCAACCCTGGGATGACACTGTCCTCCTCAGGGCCAGAACCTCCTACTCACAGGGCTTACTCTCCCCCCAGAGCCCCCCACCATCCTTGGAGAGACCCTTGGGTGTCCCACCCAGCCTAGACAAGCACATCCCCGATTCTCTGTGCTTCCCCAGAATTCCTAGCACCTGGCTTTCCCACTGTGGCCACAGCGAACCCCTCAAAGCCCAGTCCATCCCGGCTCAGCATGCCAAGGAGCGGTGTCCACAACTTCTAGCAATCCCCAGGACTCAGGGTCCAGGCCTGGAACTGAGACATCACGGCAGTCCCAGCCAAGGCCATGCACCAGCCACAGGAGAATACAGACTCCCCGTTTGTAAAAAGGCGATAATCAGGCATCTGTTTATCAAGCACTCAAGATGGGCCAGATTCTGTGCTAAGCTTTATATGCCTGATTTCACTTGGACGCTCACAGCAACCCTCATGGCATGGTCAGCCCCGTTTTACAGAGGGGGAAACTGAGGGTCAATGACTCAACCAAAGCACATAGGTGGCAAGTGACAGAGACGAGACGGGACTTCAGGTCTCAGGAATGACAACGCCCGAACTTGACCCAAACTGTCTCTGTGGCAGGCAGCCTCCAAGATGGTCCCAGTGACCCCTGCCTCCCGGTATCTGCACACTTGAGCAGCCCCTCCCACCCACCGCGCACAAGGGTTGGTCGGTGTGACCAACAGAATACAGTAGAAGTGACTCTATGTCACTTCCACAACTGTGGCTGGTTATAAAGTCTTCAGGGCGCCTGGGCGACTCAGTCGGTTAAGCGTCCGACTCTTGACTTGGCTCAGGTCACGATCTCACAGTTTCATGAGTCTGAGCTCCACATCGGGCTCTGCACCGACAGTGCTGAACCTGCTTGGGATTCTCTCTCTCTCTCCCTCTCTCTTTGCCCCTCCCCTGCTTGCAAGTTCTTTCAAAATAAATACACTCAAAAATAATTATAATAAATAAAAAACTTAAAAAATGTTTTTTTAAAGACTGCAGCTTCCTGGTTGGATTCCCTCCCTCCCTTTCTCTCTCTCTCCCTCTCTCTCTTTCTCTCTCTCTCTCCCCGTCCCTCAGCTACCTCACTCATGAGAATCCATGTCAGGAGAAGCCTTCTAGACAAGCCCACATGGAGAACGAACTGAGGCCTCCTGCCAACAGCCGCATGAGTGAATTCAGACTGGGTTCTCCTGCCCCGGTCAAGCCTTCAGATGAAGCAGCCCCAGCTGAAGCATTAACGGCAAGCCCACGAGAGACCCTGAGCCACGGCCACCAGCCAAGCCACTCCCAAATCCTGACCCTCCAGAACGGCAAGATAATAAATGCTTACTGTTTAAGCCATGAAGTTTGGGGGCAATTTGTTATACAATGAGAGGCACTGCGTCCTCGGTCCCACGTGCTCCGGATCCACGTGATCCTAATTCCACACTGGCATTCTACACGGTAGAGTTCCCTCCTCCCTGCTCAGAGGCACGGCAAAGGGGGAGGGGCAGGTGGGGGCCAGCTACAATACTCACATCCAACCTCCAGCCGGATTTCTGCAGAGGCATCGCCCATCTCGTTGACAGCTCGGCAGGTGTAGACGCCAGCATCCCTCTCCCGAGTTGCCGGGATCCGCAGCGTCCCAGAGCTGGAGCCCTCGGGGCCCAGAATCATTTCAAGACCCCCTGGACCAAAGATGGGAGAGCATATCTAATGGGGACAGAGTCTCAGTTTTCTAAGATGAACAGAGTTCTGGGAGTGGATGTTGGTGACGGGCATACGACACGCATGTAATTACAACTACCGAACCGCACCCCTAGCAAGGGTTAAGATGTCAAGTTTGTTATTTGTACGTTACAACCATTAAAGGCAAATTTTTTAAGTTGAAAAAAGCCTCCAGCCCTGCGGGGGGGGGCTTCCCTGAGCTCCTCTGTTGACCTCTGTAGAGGCCCAGCCTGTCCCCCTGCATTCAATGGGCTGAGCACCAACAAACTCCTTGCCTGGGTCTCCCCGCTGGGTCCCCATCCTCCACCCCAGGTCTAGACCGACTGAGGTCTGGATCAGCTCTGGGGTCGCCCAGGGTCGCCCTGGGATGAGCACACCCCACCCACGGCTGCCTCTCTGAGGCCTTATCCCGGGCAGGCTTCCCGAAACCCACCCTGAGGCCTCCCTCGTTTCTCCTGACTGTTGTCTGCACCCAGGCTCCTGACGGCTCCCCTGATTCTGCCCTACTTTCTAAATTCTATTTTCATTTTTTATTTTTACTGCGGTAAAATGCACATAAAACAAACAACTGCACCATCTCCAGCGTTCAGAGTATCCGATTCAGTGGCGTTAAGTACGTTCACATTATTGTGTATCTGTCTCCAGAACTTTCTCGAACTTTCTCGTCGTCCCAAACCGAAACTCCGCCCTCAGTAAACAGTGACTCCCCATCCCCCCACCCCATTTTTCATTTCTTCAAATGAAAAAGATTTTTACTTGTGGCAAAAAAAAAAAAA